TGATAATATCGTATCGTGACCCAAGTATCGCGACATGTATCGAATCGCAACACTCACCTCTAATTACATGCTAATGCATGACTGAGGTTTGTAGCTTTTTTAAATCATGAGTTACTTTTGATTATAACAGGAGTAAAACAAGTGATACGTTTAGATCCTTTAGTCTAGTTTCAAAGTTAGCTCCGGGCATCAATAATCTCACAGAACTGGTTCTAGCCTTTCAATTCTACTGGAATCGTTTATTTTTGATTCCTAGTTTCGATGGAAGGCTGCCTTCTATCAGCGAAGAAGAATCCACAGCATTGTGTGTGTACCCACTTGTTGTTGGTGTGGGATTCTCAACTGTGGCTTAAAGCTAAATAAACCAACAGTTGGCCAACTGTGGCACTGGTGATAGGATTAGATTATGCCATATTAGTGTAAAGCACTTTGGTCAGTCCTCCGACTTGAAAAAGCGCTATATAAGTACAGGCCATTTACCATTCAAAAAGTTTCTACTCTTGGTTGAATAACATTTTTCGGCTATTCCATCCAACTAACAAACAAGCCTGTTTTAAACAAAGATGCTCCAGATAAATACGCAGAGTTAATGTTTATGCCACTGCGAGTGTTAGGTCTTTATATATGGTCAACCTAACACAAAATATAGGATTCAGGTTAATATACTGTAAGGACTAAATACTTTGTAGAGGTATTCTTACTTAAGGACCATTGTTGGCTACTCTACCCATCTTTGCTCATGTAGAACAAAACTCTTTTGACTTTTTGTCTCAAACAAGATTTGAATGGAAATCAAGTTAACTAACTTCAACAAGGCGGCCGATGTTAGCAATGTGAGGTGAGGACTCTCCAACCGTCTCGTCTTTCTCCATCTGTTGAAATATTTAAAAAGAAAACTGCTCATTCATCCCAGCTGAATAAAAAGGCGCAAACCTCAAACAGTCTGGAATACTGTAGCAGTGTCGTACCTGTCTTGTAAGGCTGCCGCCCAGGTTCATGGTACCAGAGCCTGTCTTGGTCGTCTGGAGCCACAGCATGACAGTGGAGGTGAGTTTATAGTGAGCAGTGCGACCGCTGGGCTTTTCCTGCAGGCAATACAATGAACAGCCCATTGCAGGCATGGATTTAACAGCTGCTGGTGCAATTCAAAGATATCCTACTGTCTCAGGTCAAAAAAACAACAACATATATTCAAATTATTACTCGCAGAGAAGTAACATCAGAATTTTTTTCCCATTTCCGTTACCATGATGTGTTCACTGATCTGAGCATCATAGCTCATTAATTAAATCAGGTTAGAGTATCCAAGTGATATAAGAGAACATGAAATTGGCAAAATCAAGAGAAGTGCAAAGATGCAACAAATTATTGAAAATTAGACAAAAGACTTTAAAAATTACTTTAAAAGGTTTGGAATATCTAAATCTAGTATTTATTAATAACAATAAACCAGTGTTTTTGCAGCTACTATCTTCTTTGTATCTTTCTTTGTAATGGTATTACCATGTTGTATGGAATATATATTTCCCAAAAATCCCTTCTACTAGAACCAAAAAGACTTAATCGAATAAATTACAAAGTAAGCGCAACCAGTGTTTCAAAAGGCTGCAGACAGTGTTATCTCACCTGCACCTCCACCACATGAATAGAGTCCCAGCATCCTTTAATCTTCTTGGATCCATCTCCAGCTTTTTTAATGAGAATAACTCCTGCAAAGCCATGATCCAAGTCCCAGAGGTACACGGAGGACACACCTCCCTCGAAGTACCTGGATATTACAGGTAAATAATAGAACGGTGACAAGGAGGCAGCACTGATCTTTAATTACTAACCTCTCTGATACTCACAGGTCTCTGTACTGATCAAAGGCATTGTTCGCTTCCACTTCCAGTTTCCTCAACCGAGCCGAGGGCATTGCACCATCTTCAATGGGAGGTTCATACTTATTACTCCACGGTGATCTGATGGATGAGAAATCAGCTTAGCGTTTTGTCTAAAAGCAGATTTGCATCTACATACCACGAACATAATATAAATACCAAATCTAATGTGAAACTGCTATAAAAAGTTTCTATAGCTTCAGGCTTTATGAGAAAGAGACATTTCAAATATTCTTGTCAATAACAGCTGTCAGGAGCAGTGACAACCAAAATCTGCAATGCAAACAGAAAACCAAGCTATTTTTAACCATGCTAATGTAGCTGCTGGGACTTAGCTTTACTCTCCTGTAGGAGGAAAAGGAACTTCTCCCTGGCAACGAAACTTAGGGTAAAAACATCAACAGGGTCAAGCTGTGCTGTTGATGCAGATATTTTTTCCCTTTAGTTTAATAGTATTTAAACAACGCCAATTATCTCCCAAATCATAACATAGGATCTACTTTCTAAATATCACATTTCAATGCTGTATAAAGGCAGAGTGAGCTGTCATCAACTCAACAGAACATTTACATGTCCATCCTTTGGAGTGGGGTTATCATGTGCTAATTTTCTAAGTCTTCATAAAAAGAACATGATCAATTGTGGTTAAATAAAAATGTAAATTTCTTCTTTACTCCGATACTGGGTTGCACAAAGTTTTAGCTTCAACAGATTAGGCTTCGTCAGAGTCACCTCAATTATTACCTCAAAATAGTGTGTAAACCACTATTTTTTTTAGATATTCCATAATAGATTTATTATATCTTTTCATGGGACATTACTGAAGTTGTGACCCTTAGAAAGATGGCTTTTAAGACTGCAAACTTACCATTCAAAATAACAGAAGACGATGTCTAGAAAAAGCTGGCTACAAAGGAACAGAGTCCCAAGTGAGAATATTCAGTTTGTGCCAATTAGCCTTTTTTTTCCCTCCCAGGTGACATGTGACTGTGGAGTGCGATAGAGGAAGCGGTGTGTTAGGTTTGTGTCACTCACACACCCTCCCCTACTGGTCACTGCAGGTTCACTATAGCCATGTTTACAGCAAACTGAAATGTGAATTTCTAGCCAACTTTTAAAAGTTAAATAAAAAGGAAAGTTGACTTTGCAGTTTTCATTTGGTCTGAAACGAATTAACAATGTGACACAAAGTGCAATGTCATCATACATTACAATCACACATGGCTGAAGTAAACAGGAAGTAGAGGCTGCGATCTAGCACAGACCACAGATCAGTAATGGAGGAAAGTTTTAATGAATGTGTTGCTTTCAGGCAAATTGTTCTTACGTTAACATGTCAGTAATAGAAACGCTTCTTACAGCCATGTTTACATGTATAAGAGGAACATCCAGGAAGACGCCGACAGCAGAAACAGCTGCTCAGTCATGTGAGGTAAAAGTTTGCTACATCAAACCTAAACCAAAAAATAACTTTTAAATATATATAACTAAATATAAATTCAAATTTATCAGGTTTTATCAAGCTTTTTCTGATGTGATACTTCTAAATCCGTATTAGAGAAAGCTGATGGAAACACGCCTCATGACACCGTGTGACCAAGAAGCTCCTAAAGCTACTTCCACCCAGAGCCACAGAAACAAAGGGAAAGGAAGGCCTGATAAAGAGCAGGGCGCTTTAAAAACCACTACAGATTAAAAAGCTTCTAGAACCAATTCTAAAACAGAACCGCAACTCTAAATCCCACTGTCGTTGGTTGAGTCACTGATTGAGTCTTTAATCAAGCCAGGTCAAGACACCCTGAAAGAAGATGAATGGTTTTTGTTCTTCGTCCTCACGACCCACCACCCTAAATGTTTTTGGCATTTCACACACCTGACTCAAAAAGATGGATGATTATAGGTTGAGTTAGTAGTACATAGGATGCTGAGAGGGACTCTCTGGATGGTAAGGGCTGCAGGCATTTATACATGTAAATACTAGAACAGCATTCTCTGAAAACACAGGGAGTAGTAAAACACATACCCAGTGGAAAAGTAGTAAGAGAAAAAAAAAACGCTTTACACACATCAGTGTTGGAGTTATGACCAAACAAACCAAGAAAAAGAGTACCCACACCAAGACATAAAAACATTATTTCTCACTTTATACTGTTTTTTGTTGTAGTTTTGAAAACAGTAGTAGTTTGAAAACATTGGGCTGTGATCATACAACTGTTTAACAGGACAGGTTCCCCTTCACCATGGTTCACCAAAGAAGTTGGTCTACATGGTGCTACACTTGCTCAATCAGGAAGAATCCTCCAATGATGATGCATAAAGAAAGTTCTCAGTCAATGTGCTGAAGACAAGCAGACAAAGGATGATTGGAAACATGTTCTTCGGTCTGAGATCAAGATGAAAATATTTGGTTCAGATGGTGTCGATGGTCCCACAAGGCAGAAACCGGCTGAGGAGCAAGAAAGGTATGTCATGCATGTGGCTGAGTGTGTCATGGTTGGGGCTGGACCTGCATCTAATATTATGAGAAGGTCTGAGAACACAGCCTGTAGCAGACAGGATATCAAACAAAGCACTGCTTTTCATATTGAGCTCACACAAATATGGACCAAGAGTGGAAGATTAAAAGGAATGACAGACATTGTAGTGAAGAGGAATAGGGCAGCTCAGTATCCAACATCTGGCTAAACCATATTGGAAAAACCTCTTGACATTTTCTATCTCTGTAATCTATTGTAATTGCTCCTTATGTCATTATGTATACTGCACCTGTAAGAGTCGCCGTCTCGATTGTAATCACAGAGCAGGTAGTCTTTCCCCACCACTTTGTCACGGGCGATCTTCAGGGGCTGGTCCACTGAGGAGAGGAGGTCCTCGCACAGACTGGGGACCTACACCCACACACAGGCAATAGCTCTCATCAGAACAATGTTTAGTTCAACTATCAATCTCCTCAAAGACCTAATTAAATGTACATGATGTGATCTGAGGGTAAAACCAGGATGTTAAAAGGCCTTTCACAAAAAAGAAGAACATACTGAAAACTAAACATGGAGGTATGGGTAATTGATACTTTCAAGCTCTAATTTATCACATTCCAGCTCCACCCAGAATAAAATGTAAGTGGGAAATATAATATCTTAAGGATAAAGGGGTACAAATTAGTTCTCACAGACTGACATGTAGCCTCCCCCACTCCTTTCACACTCCAGCATCAGAACACAATGGCAGCCCTGTTACCCTGAAAAAGCCCCCATACCCACAAACAGACACTCTCACACATAAACGCACCTGGCTGCCCAGACGGGCCAAGAGAAAAGAAACGAGTCTGAACTCGAAATAAAGTGTGGAAGGTAAATGAAAGGCTGATCTGAGAGGAAAAGATGAGGGATGTGGTATAATCTGGAACAGGAGACCTGATTTAAGGTGGCAGGAAAAAGTTTCAGCTGTGGCAGAGCCAAGTTGGCAGCAGCCATGATTGACAGCTGAGATAATGATCACTAATAACCGGACATAGTGATCACTGGGAATGAAAAGAGCAGGTGTCCATGGGGAGACGGGTTAGAGGTGAGAGAAAAGGGAGGCAGGTGGGGGGTGAGGCTGAAAAGAAACGCATGTAGTGGAAAAACATGAAGGAAATGTTAGTTCACTGATGTCTAATCAAAGTTTTACAGGTTGAAGAGGAAATTCTATTAAATTAAACAAAAAGAAAAAAAAACACTTCTTGTTTAACTGATGCAGTTATTTATACTCTGCTACATTACAAGGAGCAAAGTCAAAGTACTGCTCTTTTAGAGGCTAAATTAAAAAGTAAATCATGTTAGTTAGCAGAAATTGTCTTTCTTGCATAATATAAATAAAATACATTTAATTAAAAGCAAACGACAAACTCTACAAATTTTTAATGCAACGAGCGGCCAGAGTAGCTTGTAAAGAAAGAAACTAACCAGGTCGATGAGGTCACTGAGGTTCTTCTCGATCTGCTGAGGAGGCAGACGCCTCATCAGGTCCAGAGCACAGTCCAACTGTTGATCATTCTGAAACACAAAAGACAACACATAGAAACACTGAGAACTCCGGGCCAAATTATCAGCAAACTGAGATTCTTATATGGACTAATAAACTAGCAAACAGGATTTCTTTCTTTAACAATCACCTGGTTTCTACAAATCTATACAACTCACAAAATAACCAGTAGTACATTTTGCAAAAATAAGCATTTTATTTATTTATTTTTTACAGAGCATTAACATTGACTGTGAGAGACGTCTTTCACATGCTTCCTTTAGGGACTACAACAGCAAGCCATCACAAGCAGCCCAGACTTGGCTGAAGTTTTACTCCTAATGCCATTTCTGCTGCAATCTGAACTCAAACTAGGGGTGTAAATAATAATCGTTTTGTATCGATGCATCGATCCAACAGTCGAGGATCCGATGCCTCGACACGTCCGCAAGAGTATCGATTCATGTTTTTGTTTTTCTTCTGGTCTATGTTTATCCATTTGCTCCTGGGCGTAATTCTCCCTCCCGTGCTGCGGTGGCGCTAAACCTATTTTGCCCTCCTACCTCGCTTCCTGGTCATACTCTTACAGCAGTGTGTTGCAGTGAGCTTGACACAGACATTTTTAAATTATGCTCAATATTGAAGCGTGGTCTGTGCTACACCCTGTGGGTCTAGATACGGCCGAGGCGGCGAGGAAGTTGGGGCGAGTTTAGTCTGACGACCGAGGGACATGAGGGCCAAAAAGGGCGGAGATCCAGGTTGAAAAATGGTCCCAGCATTCTCGCGCACCTCGCTCTTCAAGCGGGTCAAACTTCACGAGTTGTTTTCCGCAATTTTGGTCATAAAAACAAAACAAACCGGCCTCCTGTTTGCGGTGAGCTACAATTTGGGAGAGGTGCAGCGGAGCGTCTGTGGAGGGGCCGGGGACGTCTGGAGCCGAGGTATTGCATTGCACTCATTGCACTGATTATGTGCAGTATTTTTACAGTATTTTTTTGATGCAACTTTCCTACTTCTGCTATTTGCTGTTGTTTCTAAAAAAAAAAAATGCATAACGATATTACAGCTTTCATTGATTTATTTCAAATTTGAAACTTTGTTTAGCCTGTAAGGTGTAGAAAAAAAAAATTAACCGATTAATCGAATCGTAGTATATTCTTGAGTATCGAAAATAATCGAATCGTTGGGTCAGGAAATCGATACTAAATCGAATCGCCATGATGGATGTGATTTACACACCTAACTCAAACCCCTGTTTCTCGCATCACAGACACAAACTGAGCATTCGACACCACACAGCTAACCTAATGTAAAGCCAAAAATGTTGTATAATTTAGGGAATAGAAGAGAGATGATCAATTAAGCTCATGAGACAAGCCAATATGATGGGTAGCTACTGTACTACCAGATAACATGATGTCGCCTTTCAAAGGTTTCATCAACCTTAGAATTTGGGACGTTTTCATGTTTCTTTCTTAGTTTAATCCAGAAAAGCCCAAAAGAGGAGCACAATTTGTAAATAAACTGAAAACCCTGATGGAAACATGTACATGCTTATTCTTAGTAAAAAAAAAAAAAAAAAAAAAAATTGAAATAAAATTGAAATCTGGTTGAAAATAGCAATTTTGATTTTTAGCAAAAAGATTCATCCTAGGTGTAATGAGTACAGAGTACATGCAAATACAATGTCAAATCATAATCACATGCATTATTCCTTTTTGTACAAACTTACAAAATGCAGAATGAATGGATGGATGGTGTCTACCTGTGCAACTTCTACAAGCAATAACAATAATAGCTTCTGTAAACCAAAACCTCAGAACAACTAATTATCTGTAGATAAAAACGTCTATGAAAACAGGGGCTCAGGTTTAGCAGGAGCATTCATGTGTGTGAAACATGAAGACAATAATTAAATGCAATAGCAGCAGTTATCGCACAGAAACTGTTCCTAGAGCCCATTAAACATAGAATGTCACAATGGTCCTTTTTTAAGTGAAACAAATCTATTTTATTGTAGAAGACTTCAATGGAAAATATGAAAGCAATCCACTGATCTTCAAAGAAAGTGCTAACCTGCAGGATGTCCCAGGTAAGGAATGCAGTGCGTTAGAAGATAGATATGCGCCTATCAGGATTTTGGGAGCCGACTGATAAAATTGGGATTGGCAGAAACAAACATTGTCAATCAATGATTACAGCATTGAATCCGTAAATTCTTCAATACTGTTGTTGCATGTACATTGCATGATTAAATATAAAAATTAGGAGATGAGAAAGTATCATGACCTGACCACTGTTTTAGTTAACGAAGGCAGAAGAGAGCCATTTTTTTTAAATAAAAATGGAAGATTAAGAAAACAATCTAGACAAATGAGGGCAATTAAAAAAGCTGTTTTATTTTATCCCTTGAGGTATTTTTTTTTCTTTTTTTGCTATACATCATTATTCTGTGAGAAGTCCACACACACACACACTACTGTACGAGCAGCTTTAATTCATACAGACGCTCAAACTACTCCTTCACGTGCATGCTTAGCATGTAACATGTGTAGATAGAGCACCACAAGGTTGGTCATTTTTTACAGGTTTGGCCTGTATGCACCAAATTAATACAATTTGTAAATTATAAACCTTATTTTATCAGTGGAAAAAGGAAACAACTTTTAGAATAAAAATGGATTGTGGAGACCTGGGTTCTGTACTAACACTGAGCTTAGGACAATCACAAGTAATAACAGTTGTTGCTGCAGTATTATTTTGTACTTTAGTGTTTCTGTAGTTAGTTCAGGCTATAGAATGAAACTAAACAATTAATTTTCTTAATCAGCATCATATGGTCAGGAAAGCATTTGCCTGTGAATAATATCTATGATCTGTTGCTTTATAAATGAATACTGAGGTCATCTTTAGGTTAACTTGTTTAAACAAAAAGGATTTTATTTCTTCAATGTTTTTTGGAAAATGCTAACCGTTAGCATCTTCCTATAAGGGTTTTTCAATAGAGAAGTTAGCACTGAGCTAGGGGTCAAATTTGTGCATTTTTGCATTATGTCTTTTGCAGTTTTACAGTGACTACTAAGTAAAGCTCAGAGAGAACTCAAAAAGTGTGGCTTTTCTATCTGTCAAGCTTTTCTATCTTATGCACAAGCATGGACAGAACAGCATGCATGCCCTGGTGGAAGTTTGCTGTAATAAACAGTCTCATCTGCCTCCTTCGAACAATCTTTAGAACTCCAATCAACACCGATTGGGCGCTATCAGGGGACTGCGATCAGTTACCGATCAATTGGTGTATCTCTAGTAAATGAGTAGGATAATAACAGCTTCAACTCAAAAAAGACAAACCCCTTATAAATCTATGCATTTCTCAAAACCTCTCCATGATTAGCCTGAAAGTTAAGATGTGATCAATAAAAAACACATTATTTTACAGATAAATCATTGCACAAGCAGAGCTGTACAGCATTATGGTGTGTTCATACATGCGGTACAGACAGGGATTTCTGCAAGCCCCGCAGGTAGTTCACCTCTCTGCAATTAGGATGCACTGTGTTTACACTCTGTAACACATCATCAAATAGGAGGAGCTTCAGCTGAGTGAAGCTGAAACCCCACTAATGTGAAAAGTACTCAGCAAATAGACTGGATGGTTAGTGCTTCTTTAGTGCATGTTTGTGCATTTTAAATGGTCATTTGGAAAAATGAAAATATAAATAAATAAATGGGAAGAAAACTACATATGGTGCTGTTGTTTCAAAGATATTAAAGATTATCAAGTTACCCAGAGGTCAACCCCATTAAGCTTCTAATTTAATTAAAATTATCTAGCCGTGTCACGTCATGATTTCATAGAAAAGTTTAGCTTGTTTCACCTTCAGCAATCAGTGCTCCGATATCTCCATGCTGTGCTGCTGTTTGACAACACCTCAACTCTATCTAGTAGTACTCGGTGAGAGCGGAGCAGTGAACGCTCTCACCGTGTGGAGTTCACCGCCGGTCGCTTCCCTGCTTTTCACCGCATGGCTAATATAGGAACTCTATGTGAATCCACTGCATTTACCAGAGCCACCGCCTCCGGTGCGAACACACCATTACAGATTGCCTTTGGAAAAACATCCCACAAGGTTGCAGCACACTTCAAATAAAATGTCACCACTTCCTCATATTTATAGTTTACTCCAAACTGATTTAGACCACCATAAATAATATTTAGATAAACCTTTACAGTCTTTAATGTAAAAATAATAATAATAAAAAAACAGGCCATGTAACAGCCAATCTGTGAGGAATATGCACAATATGACCAAGCAGGAAACCCTAATGACTTTAAAGGCAATATCAAAGAAAGTTCTACTGAGGCAGACATATTGCAATAGATGTTGCCATCTTTACAGTATTTGGCAGAATGTTTGAGTCATGTTGGGATAAAACCACACAATAAAGTAGAGATGCACAGAATATTCTACTATTCATTGGAAACAGGCAGTTTCAGTGAGTAAGAATAAAAAAAATCATTGTACTTCCATTGCACTCTTATTGCAAAAGGAAGACATTAAATTCTCATTTTTCATGAGTTTCACATAAGTTTAAAAGGAAAACCTAAGGAGAAACTAAAAAGTCAGAAGCTAATTCAAAGGAAACTTATCTGTACAGCAGGTTGAAACCTGTACCTGGATCTACCTGGATCTTTTACAAAGCAAAACTGAGACAACTTCAACAGATAACAGGAAGGCTAAACATATTGCTGCAAAGTCGCTCTATTTATCCTTATGAGCTTTAAACCCCTATCTGTCATTGAACATGCAGGATTCAGAAATGTAGGCAGATTTTTTGGGTCCAACAAGTGCCCATACTCCCAAGAAGGCAGGCAGCGGTGGCTGCTTCTGCAAAAACAGGTTTGCTTGGCCAAATTGCTGAAGATTTCAACTCATTCAGAAATATCCTGCAAAACTCCATGGTTTTAAAAAACAACCATTCTTGCTTCTATGGCTGTGCAATTAGTCTCATTTTCAAAATGTATGCTATTTTT